CGGGATCGCAACCCTCGGTGTTGCTCCCTTGCCTCGCTCAGCCAGTGAGCGGGAACTGGTCTGCTTGTGGGATCCGAACCCGGATCGCAACCCTCGGTGTTGCTCCCACGCCTCGCTCAGCCAGTGAGCGGGAACTGGTCTGCTTGTGGGATCCGAACCTTTGGGCAGGAGCACCGCCGCGCTTCCCAAGCGGCGCACTATCCAGTGCGCCACCGGGCCGACCCAGAGGCTTGCTTTTTTGATACAGGTTTTCGAGGTATGGTCTCATTTCCCCCACAATATGTGAGGCCTGGAGGAGTGAGAGGTTGGCCAAGGCCACAGCTCATGTCAGTCTGTGGCCAGTGGGGCTGAGGATTGAGCTCTGCTGAGCTCAGGGAGGTGTGGCCACTCTGCAGCCCCCATTCATGTCACCCCTGGACCACCCTGTATCAGCAGGGACTGACCCGAGACTGAAACGCTCCCTTGGCCCCTCCAGTCCCTGGGGCCCTCTGTGGGGGACGTGAGCTGCTTCAGGCCAGTGGTGCCCTTGTGGGAAGGTCCAGCAAGGTTGGGTCCCTGTGGAGGTGTTGAGCTACATTGTATGGAGCAAAGGGAAGGATCTCGGAGGATGAGAAGGCAGGCTGGTGTGGTGGTACCCGCCTGGGTCCACAGCGGCTTCCTGGCTCAGCATCCAGAGATGGCTAACAGGGCAGTAGCAGCAGCGCACATGGCAGGGGAACCTGGGAGGATGCAGGAGGCATCCTCTGTGGGGCTGGGGGACCTGCTTGATACCCCCACCCATTGTGGTCAGTAAATGTTCACTGTTGTTAACTGGTGGGGAGACTGCAGACTTTTGACCTTTTCCAAATGGGTCGTGAGGATGCTGGGAGAGCTGCGTGGGGTGTGGGGCGGGTTGTGGCCTCCTGGGCCAGAACTAGGCCATGGCTGAAGACCCAGCAGCCGAGCTCCTGGACGTGGCCTGTCTGAGCTTGGGTTGGAGGGCAGGGGGACCCAGATGCAACCTCAGTAGCAGTTGCTGGTGCTTAGCCTGTTGTCACAGTGACATCCACGCTTGCTAGGTCATTGTCCTGTACTGATCTCACCACCAGAAGGCACTTCCCGTGACTTCTGTCCTGCAGGTTCTGCCCATCTTGGGAGGATGCCCATCTTACCAGCATGTGGCTCTGCTGTGAATGCGGTCTCTGGGATGCTCCTTCCTGGCTTAGGTTGGTCCCCGATTTTCTGGAACCACAGCTGTTGGTGCTGCCTCTGCTGCAGGAGCTGTTGTCCATGTGACGGTGCACTAGAGGGCAGCATGGCTCTGCTCTTCACCACCTCCATCATGTTTCTGCTGGAAATGTGGAAGACAATCTTTTCTGCTCCATGGGCTGTGTCTCAGGGTCGGAAAATGACAAGGTTGTACACCTTCCTGCTAAGCCACCTTACTCTGCCTCTGGTTCTGGGAATGGCTCTCATTTTGCTAGTATCCAAGGTGTAGATCCTCTCTGTGCTGCCGGAGACAGGTGGGCCTGTGTGTGATCTGGCATTACACACCTTTGAAGTGAGCTTCAAGCCACTGGGCAGGGCTTCCCCGGTGTGTGGTGACTTCACGGTGAGCTTAGTTGGCAGCTCTCCTGGCTGCTTGCACCTGGCATCCATGTCCCCTGGCCCGGCACCTGCTCACACGGACACCAGTGCTGTGAGCTGAATAAGGACCTGGGCAGATCAGTGGTGCCAAAGCCTCAGGTGGTGTCTGGTCACACTCCACTCACCCCTCCATTTACTATCTTTGTTCAGGAGCTCAAACTAACAGGGCAGAATTCCTGGAGCTGAGGACAAGGTGGGGCCTGGAACTGACAGAGGCATAGGCTGTAGGCTTGTGGACTGTTCTTGTCATTGGTTTGCAAATCTCTACTTGTAAAAGAATCCCTGTTTTTAATTTCCAGCATCACCATTTTAAGCTCCAGACGGTGCCCTTTTTTCAGTAATGGGCACTTTCCTGAAACCTGCAATGAAACGTGAATGTCATTCCTACTTTGAATCTCGTGTTCTCTGTTGCACATCACTGAGAATCCCGATTATAAAGGGAGAATTGGCACTCTCCCACAAATCTGGATTGTAATTATGGGTCTCTATGTGATGGGACCATGTTGTGGTATCCTCTGAAGTTAGTGCTGGTGCTCGTGGTAGGTGCAGGTGGGGTTATTTAGCAGGCAATTTACAAGTACAGGAGAGGGGCCTCCTTACAGGTGTTTATGGGTCTCTATGTGATGGGACCATGTTGTGGTATCCTCTGAAGTTAGTGCTGGTGCTCGCGGTAGGTGCAGGTGGGGTTATTTAGCAGGCAATTTACAAGTACAGGAGAGGGGCCTCCTTACAGGTGTATTCACCTGCTCACAGGTAGTGTCCTTATCTCTCCTTGCCCTGCTAGGCTGGGTGATGAAGGGACTCTCTTTGCTCTGGGCTGTTCCAGGGAGGACTGGGACACAGTCTTTCCTCGAGGGTGCTGGGGATGCATTTCTGACTCCTGTCATCGCCCTGTATCTTTCTTCAGCCATGTCCATCCCTCTCTTCTCACCTCCCATCTTTGCATACTTCCAGCCCCTTTTCTGCTGGCGCCTGGGTATCTCAGCTTGTGTCCCCAGTGCGTCCTCAATGCATCCGGGTCCTGCATTTTTTGACCTCTTTGGCTTTTTGTTTCACTGTTTACCTCTGAGCTGGTGGCACTTTCAAAGATGTGGAAGAGGCTTCCCTCTGATATCCCCACACCTAAGGGCCGAGCCCGCAGCCTGTGGCCTTCATCCTCACAAAGTGCTTTCAGGTGGCCATGCATGTTTGTGTGTAAATAAGATAGCCACTCTTCTTGCTCTGGGTGTCCATCTGCTTGCTTCACTGCTGGCTGCTGGTTTGCATGTTTGGTTGCTAAGCAGTGTATTCAGGTCAGATGCATGATCACAGATGCATTTGTTTCACTGCAACATGAAAACACGTCTCCAGCAGCTCTCTTGGACCAGAACAGGCCGGCACCTAGTTCCAGATACTCAGAGATCCAGAACCTTGTTCGTCCAGCCAGGAAAGCTTCAACAGTGTCATGGGACCCCTGAGAGTCTTTTCATGGTGATAGGGCCCAGACCTACGGTAGGGAAAGTGAAAGTAAATGGTCAGGGTCTCTCAGATGTTCAGAATCTTGCCAAGTATTTGATGTAAATATGATAACTGTGCCCGTGTGCCCAGGTGTTCTTGGTTATTGTCTGATGTATATGCACATGTGCGCCCAGGCATTCTTTGGTTGTCTGACTCGCACCCAGCTGTTCCTGGGTTATTGGACTTAAGTATAAAGGATGAATGGCTCTGATCCACAGTACCCCCCACCCCCTGGGATGCCCTGGGTGGGGGAGGGCACTGCGGCTGGAGGTTGTTGCTACAAGCTGCTGCTGCCAGGGCCCCAGGGATGCTCCAGGAGGCCACCGCTGCTGCTGCCTTTGAGGAAACTGAGGACTGAGCTTGCTTTGGAATGAACCTGTCAACTCTCCAATGGCTCCTGGGATCTTTCCCAACTACCTAGCTTGTGACCTGTATGTGAGGGGTCTGTGACCCAGTCTGCACAAAGGGTTTGAAGGGTCTGTGGGTCCTAGCCTGACATCTACAATTCTGAAGCACTTGTCATCTTGTAGTCTGGTGACTGTTACTGTAGCTGGGGTCATCTCTGTGGTGCTTGAGCACCAGGTCACTGGCAGGCTAGGTCCTCTCTCCCCGAGTTTGTTCCCATCTTGCCTACTGAGATTTTCTCCAAGATGTTGGATTTCACATAGAAGGTCTCTGCCTCTTTCCAGCACTCTCCTGTTCTGGCTCCTTCCAGCTCCTCTCTGGCCTCGGGCTTTCTTGTAGACCTGACCTTTCCCTTCTCTGGCCCATGCTCCACTTGGCTCTGGGCTTTGCTCTGGTGTCCCTCCTCTCCCGGCTACCTGGCTGAACCTGCCCATCCTTGAGGCCAGCTTAAGAGATGCCCCAGCTTGTGGTTTTCTCTTACTCCTCCTGATCTAGTCTGTCTGGTTATCTCAACACCCGATTCTATTCTGCTGTCTTTCTGGTTTCCTGTCCCACGTATTAGTCCTGTCTTAGTGGAGGCAGCACAGCTGTTAAGAGCGCTTGTGGTTTTCTCTTACTCCTCCTGATCTAGTCTGTCTGGTTATCTCAACACCCGATTCTGTTCTGCTGTCTTTCTGGTTTCCTGTCCCACGTATTAGTCCTGTCTTAGTGGAGGCAGCACAGCTGTTAAGAGCACCAGCACTGTGTCAGACCAGCCAGGCTGCAATTCCACCTGGGCCACTGGCTAGTTGTGAGGCTTTGGACAAATTACTTAACCTGTTCTTGTCTCATTGGGGATGTGGAGCTGGTAATATTACCCCTCTCCTGGGGCTGTGGAGGTCAAATGAGTGAGTGCCTCTAATTCCTTACAATGGTGCCTGGCACAGAGGGAACACTTGGTTAATGGGAGATTTTTACTGGTAGTGGTTTTCTTTCCAGCTACTCCAAGGACTCTCAGTCCATCTTAGATTCCTGGGCCTGGAGAGGGTGCTAGAATAGATGTGCCGTTTATGGTTTTTATGTTCACTAGAGCAGAGGTCAGCAGATGAAGGATCCTAGGAGTCCTGGTGTGTGGTGGGACTCACTATGCACATGGGGTGACCCAGCCTGGAGGGAGCCAGGTGCAGGAATGCCCTGTCCAAAGCCACACAGCCAGGTCAGGTGAAGGAGGAGCAAGGACTAGGTTGAATATGTTACTGTGGTATTTGCATAGAGACAGTCTCAAATAAATTGAGGGACAATCGGGTTTACCTTGTTCCTACTGAAAGGTTGGCTCTCCTGGGATATAAGCGATTCTGGGAAATCATTATGCATGTACTTAGGTAAGTGGGGTACGGCATCCTTTAAGGAACAGCTGGCACTTGCTTTCTGACGGCGCGTCTGAGTACTGAGAAAGTGACAAGCAGGGTATTACCAGGCTGGGGGTGAGCTTCTGTTTGGGCACCTTGTTTCCATGCCAGTGTTCAGTGCCAGTCTAGGAGGTGGAAACTCCTTTTCCAGATGCCTCCATCCTGGTCTCTCCTGTGCGTTGGAGGTGGCAGGGAAAGAGGAAGAGGTGGGATGCTGCAGAGCCCAGGAGGGTTTGGTGCCAGGAAAGACCATTTCTGGACATTCTTACTTGCCTCCTGGTGGTTTTGGGAAGGAGGCACATTAGTGCAGACCTGAGGAAAGCAGGCCAGGCCAGGGTGCTGCTATCTTTGCAGCTGCTAGGCCTTGGAGATTGCCATGAGGGGCTTCCTGTGGCCACCTCTGTGTAGCAGCTTGGAGTAGAAGTAGAGTAGAAAACAGACTGTGCCTAACAGGGGCATTGCTGAGGAAGGGATGACCAGTACCTTTGAAATGGAGGACAGAGGAGGTAGACAGTGACCGAGGACCTGTATCCTGAGGCCAGAGTCCAAGTGCTGGTCATCCACACGTCCAGCCATTTTTTTTTTTAATCAATAATGAAGTTGGCCAGTGCTTTCCTTCATGGTTTTACTTAAGAAGAAAGAAGAGAAAGAGGGTCTTTCTGTAATAATGTTGCAGTTGTTCCTTTGCTTGCCTGTGCTTTCCTGAGGGTCAGTGGCAGTGCTAGAGAGTAGAGAGCTTGGGCTCGGGGCTCAGATCCTTGTCTTCTGCAGCTGATAGGAGTGTTTGGCTGCAGAAAGGAGCCCCTTTTGTTACTGCAGTAGCTGTGCTTACTGAGAGCATTTCCATCCTTCCTGCTCCAGGTTTCTAACACTGGCTGGGGCTGCCAGAAATTCCCAAGACTCAGTGAGCCCTGAGTGAGCTCAGATCTTCCCTGGGTTTGCCCCATCCTCCTAGCTGTGCTTACTGAGAGCATTTCCATCCTTCCTGCTCCAGGTTTCTAACACTGGCTGGGCCTGCCAGAAATTCCCAAGACTCAGTGAGCCCTGAGTGAGCTCAGATCTTCCCTGGGTTTGCCCCATCCTGTCTCAGCAAACCCCACCCCACTCGGCTACCCTTTTGGCTTCTTCCTTGTCTCTGGCCACTCTGCGCCCTTTAGGTTGTCCTTTGGTGTGTTTGCCCCAGCATCTCCATCTGTACCCCTGGTCCCTGCGCTGTCATCTCTCACTTACTTTATTGCAGCAGCTTTGAACGGGTCTTGTTTCTGCCTCACTCCAGTATACGATGATTTTAACAAGAGGATCCGAATGTGTGTGCTTCCTTCTCTCTCCCAGATTAAAAATCTTTTAGCAACTTCCTCTATCATCTTTTGATCCCTGTTCCTCTTTACCTTTTTAGAACATATCGCTGGGATTTAGCTGCTCTCCTTATACTGAGTTTGTATGTGGCCGCCTCGCCTAAATTTGATTAGTTCTAATGGCTTTAATGATGATTTTCACAGATTTTTTTCTGTTCATGCTTCTTCTTGTCTGCACAGGGCAAGCTGTTTGGTCCTTTCCTCCGGTCTCTACACTTCTCCCTACTAGTTCCCTTCCCAGTGCATTGGCAGGGCCTCCAGGATGGCTGTGGCTGAGGCTGGGGTCTCGTGTGCTTACGTACTATTCATGGTACCTTCTCAACTTTTCCTGTCAAGTGTGACATTTGTCATCAGTGTCTGCTAGATACCTCCTGTCAGAGGAAGTTCCCTTTGAGTTTCCAGGTTATTAAAGCTTTTGAGGTGGAAAAGGCGTTACATTTTATCAAAAACTTTCAAGATAATCACTTGATTTTTTTCCCCCTTTGGTGGGTTAGTGTAGTAAATTACACTGGTCTAGAATCTTTTTGTGTGTTTTCTGCTTGTTCCTGTTTTCTGTAGTGGTTCATGTAGAAGGCATGTTCCAGTTTGTGAAGATTGGGTGGTGCTTGCCTGCAATCTTGCTCACTGGTGTGTTTTGAGAGGTGACCCTTGGCCTCTCAGGTGTTCTGCCACTTCTCAAGTCAGTTTAGATAATCTATATCTTTTGGGAAATCATTCATTACATCTGGATTTTAAAATTTATTAAACATTGTATTTTCTTACTCATTAATCTTTATTTTTGTAGTAAAGTGTGATTTATAATTTTATGTGATTGCACATGAATAAACACGCATGCAATGTGGGGATGATGATACCTATGTCATAGGTTACTCTGAGCAATTAAATGGGTGAATATCAATGAAGAGCTCAGAACAGTACCTGATAGATTATAAGTTCTATGCAAATGTTGGTTAGAAATATCTTTTTTCTTGATCGCATTTGTTAAGGTCTTTTTGGAAAAAATAGTTTGGTTTTACTGATCAAGTTAGTCATTACTTTTTCCTTATGGCTTCTTTCTTTTTTTCTCTTCTTTTCCCTGGCTACCTAAGTTGTGCGTGTAGTTCACTGAAAATAATTGGAAATGGGAAATAATATTTATAATGATTTTCCTGTTTTTTCTTATAGATTGTATGTTCCAGGGAGCAAAAACCCTGTCTGTTTGGCCCATTGGCACAGTGCCTGGCACATAGTAGATGGAGTAAACAAATGCTTTCCACCCCCTTGTCTTCTCTGTTAATTCAGCTTCTATTTTGGAAAGTTGGACAGCATTCTAAGTAAATTCTCAAACATTGAACTTTTAGCTCAGAGAGTCTCACATTTTATTGCACATCAGAATCACCTGGAGGGCTTGTGAAAACACAGATTGCTGGCCCGGCCTGCAGAGGTTCCATTCAGTAGGTCCAGGGCCCCAGGCTATGCTGGCACTGTGGGTGGGTGGGCAGGGACCACATTTTGACCTCCTACCTCCCCCACCCCCCATGCAGCTGCTAAGGCTCCTGCTGAGCTGTGCTTTTCCTCCCAGGCTGAGTCACCTGGGGAGCTCTGAAAACAAATGCCTGGCCCACTCCAGACCAGTTAATTAGTTGCCCTAATGAGCTTCATTAGCTTAATAGTCTCAGTGCAGATGGCTTTAACAGCAGCCAGGGTGGAGACCCCTGCCCTGTTAAGTCCTCACGTGGAGGCTCTGCTGTCATTATGTGTGCCCTTGGGGTAGCCCTGGGCATTGATCTTGAACTGCTTGCATTGGACTGATGCAAGGGAATAGAAGGGGTTCTGGGTGATGCCTCCCAGGTGCTGCGTGTGTGTGAATGAAAATGCTCTCATGTGCTCTGACCTGGAAGATGGTTGGGAGTGGAACTGAAGACCTGTCTCATTTGTTACCTGTGGGACTGACACTAAGGGGGCATCAAAGTGTTCACACCAGTCAGGAAACAAGTCCAGTGACCTGCATGGGAGGTATTCCTTCTTTTAGGAAAGGGGCCCTCAGGATGGCAGTTTCCATGTGCAACATAAAGTGATAGATACATGGGGTGGCAAGCCTCTTTTTTTTTTTTTTTTTTTTTTTTTTTTAAAAAGAGAGAAAATCAGCAACTAAGTATATTGTACCCTGTAACCTTGTGTTTTCTCCTCCCCTCTTTTCAGGACTACCAGACTTGAAAAAAGTGGTGGTGATTCCTTATGTTACCTCTAGGGAGAAGATAGACATTTCGAAGATTCCAAATAGGTAATAAGCCAGCCATGTTCTGACCCACAGGTCCGTGCGGAACCCATTTGAAATACCACTGGGAAGTAGACCTCTGTGGATCTTTCCTCTTAGAATCAGTCATAGGACTTAAGTGGAGGAGATTTTAGTTATATTCATCATTTGTAGATGGGCCACCTAAGGCCCCCAGAGGGAATCCCTCAAGCCCACATAGTGAATGAGTGGCAGAACAGAGAAGGTCCCAGGAATCCTTTCTTCCTGTCTGGTGTCCCTTGGATGTGGTGGACTTGGATGGGCCACACAGTTCTGCATTGGAACAAATGTGTATGTGCATGTGCATATGTGAGTGTAGGTGCATACTGCACACACATGTATGTGAATACACAACACACAGGTATGTGCATGCATGCAAATATATATGTGTTTGCGTGTATGTATATACATACATGTGTTCCCCCCCATTAGTACCAGTGTTTGTTCCCCATTGCTAATGATGCCTTCCTTTCCTTTTCAGACATTTATAAAAACCGCATGTCTTGAGTGCCAAATAGAATTGTGAACATCTTAATTTGAATAGAAATTAAATGGATTATGGTTTGGTCAAAGTTGAATTTGTCCCAAAGTTCTTGGAGTTACACTCCTTTAATCTTTCTTGGAACAATTTTGGGGAGAGGGCTCTGAGGTCAGGCATTTATGCCCACAGGGTAATCTTCTCCCTTAGTCTGGAGTCGGTGCTGGAAGGAACCTCATGAGTGGCCCCTCACAGTTGCACAGACACAACAGGGGGTCCTTGGGGGAGCCCCCGACGCCCCCTGTTGTGGAGAAGATTGCAGAGCCTTTTTATCCAGGCAGACTAGTTGATGCATGTATCACCAGTTTTGTGTGGGGTGCACTCTGAGGACACCAACAGGTATAAAGCATATGTTGTGTTCTTTGGGGGGTGCAGTCTAGTTGGATGGATGAGACACACATTCAGGGAGGGTGGTCGTGACCACTAGGTCCAGTGGACACATCTGTGCCCATTGAGTAGGAAGGACAGGAAGTGCCCAGGAGTTGAGAGTGGGGTGTGGTTGCTTTTCTGTGGGGTCTGGGGAGGTGGTATCTGAGCTGGCCTTGAAATACGGGGAGGGTCCTGGTACAGCTGTGTGTGCCAGATTCCAGAGGCTGAAGGGTACCACAGGCAAAGTGTCAGCTGGGCAAGGGCTGTGGTCTCCAGAGCCAGACTTCTCAGCTTCAGGTCCCAGCTGTATGACCTTATGCAAGTGATTAACCTTTCTGTGCTTTGGTGTCTCTATCTGTAAAATGGGATGGTACCTTCCTCACAGGCTGGCTGTGAGGATTAAAAAGTGAATGTTCAGCAAAGCTCACATAGTTAGCTCTCAGTAACATTGTCTGTCCTCATGAGGCTGTGGGGACTCTGACCCCCAAGTATCACGGTCAGGACATGCTCAGCCTTTACAGGCAGGCTCAGGTGCGTGTCCCTAGGAATTGCAGGAACCGTGCCGCCCTTAATGAGTTACAGCCAGAGGATGGAACAGTGTCTTACTTTATGAAACCTCAGATTTAGCTCTATGGGCTTTATTGATGGAGGCCTTAAAGCACAGAGAGTAGGAGGAACATCAGACTGGTTTTGCCAGCCCTGTGGCAGCCTGGTTTTTATTTCTCTGAATGTGTTTATCAGTAATTGATACAAAATGAGAGCATCCAGTAGAATCACATTAGCCACTTCATTTAGCCTGATACAATGCAAAATCTCCCCTCATTAAACCCTGGGAATTGGCCTCCCAGTGCTGTTCATCTTTCGATTGCCGGATGCCACAGATAAACTAAAAACACCTACGTGCCCATCTGCAGAGAACTGGAAGCGGGGAACCACCCTTTGGGCTTTTCATTTTTAGAAGAGCAACAAAAGTAATCATTATTTACTGTGATTTATAGACCATTTGAAAGAAAAGGTTTTTTCTCTGTGTGAAGTATCCAATTAGATTGGGCACTTTATGTAAATGGGATTCGTATCTGAGGTGGAGGTGAGGTGGGGCTTTCATTGGCTGTAAAGTTCCACAGTGAATAATTTTCCTTCCTCTCTGGAGCACATGGCTTTGTTTGTTTACTGCTCAGAGGTGAATTATTCTGGATGCCCTTTTTAAACCACTACCTCTCCCCCAGGAAACAGCCTCATCTTTAAGGATGCTTTACCATGCAAGACAGCAAAATTCTTTATTTTAGTACATATGCATTTGTATTTCAGAGTAATTATCCTTAGCAAATTGTGGCAGGCTGAGCTTAACTAATTCCCACCCTCTCCTTGAAAGAGAGAAAGTCAGAAACAGTATAAGGTCAGTATTTTGGGACTGATGTTTCTGCTGCCTCAAAACAGAGAAACCATCCTTCCCAGGATGGCTTTGTAGCCTCTGCTGCTGCTTCTAGCTCAAAAAACAAATCTCTTGTTCGCACTGCCCCTTTGGTGTTTTTTGTTCACCTTCATCGATGTTTTATGTCAGCTTTGAGGGTGAGGCTGGGGTAGATTTTTTAGGTGATAGTCAGTAGCTGGGATTTTAATTTTATTTGTTTTTGCAGAAATATTTGTATCTTGCTATTAAAAACCTCAGGGTATAGTAAATTAGCGATAGGACATATTTGTCTGCAGTCTTTCCATCATTGGAACTACAACTGCGGTTTTGGGAGATTGGCGCCACCTTCCTGCTGTGGGGACATGACCTTCATGTTCAGGAAGGGCTCACTGCTCTAGCTTCTCGCCACTTTCTTCTTCCCTGGTGGAAAGCCTTCTAACTCAGACCCACTTGACTTCCCTTTGGGCAATCATTGGAAATAAGGTGTTTACTAATTAGGTGATTAATGGCAAACAAAGGAAATGAGCTTGGAAGACTTCAGCGCCATTTTCAAAACCTCCTTGAGCAGTGTTTGCAAACAAACAGTGATATGTTAATTGTAAGTGATTCTTCTCCCCTGTGTCTGTGGAAGCATTTCAAAGATTCCCTAAAGAGACAGACTTGGCCCTGGCAGCAGGGCCAATAAACCAACTGCAAGTGTTCACTCATTAATTAGTTTCCTTCAATTACCTTGGATTAGTGAAATTTGACTTCCTCACTCCCTCATGTAAAGCTTCCAGACCAGGTCAGTGTCCCTAGAAATCCAGGCTTTTGTTATGGTAGAAGTGGAGGGAGGGTGTGTGCCAAATCTCTGGGCAGACCCAGTCCAGCACTCTGGAACGTTCACTGTTTCCCATGTGTTTCTGCCCACAGCATATTCCTGGATGATTTTCTTGCATCCAGGGCAGGTCAGCCAGCCCCCCAGCTGGAGTTCGAGCAGCTGCCTTTCAGCCACCCTCTCTTCATTATGTTCTCGTCGGGCACGACTGGAGCGCCCAAATGCATGGTGCATTCTGCGGGGGTAGGTCACCCTGGGAAGGCTCTGCCGAGCCTCCCCTTTATTTTTTCGCTGTGATGGGGGCTCCTGGCAGGTGATGCGGCATTCCAGTCGTCAAACTGCACCCCCTGCCCAGAGATTTCAGCGTGCAGCTTCTCAAAGTGGGCTGCTGTGCAGAGATCTGGAATTGGGCCCAGGGCGATGGAGAGCTGCTGTTCCAAGGGCAGTCGTGACAGGCAGAGCGGTCACCTGTGCAGCAACATGTAGTGAATGCAGTGGATGGGCCCTGTCAGCATTAAGAAAAATGAATCAGAATAGATGAGAATAGGGCTGGCCCATGGCTCACTTGGGAGAGTGTGGTGCTGATAACACCAAGGCCATGGGTTCGGATCTGTATGTAGGGATGGCTGGTTAGCTCACTTGGGAGAGCGTGGTGCTGACAACACCAAGTCAAGGGTTAAGATCCCCTTACCGGTCATCTTTAAAAATAAAAAAAAAAAAAATAGATGAGAATAGACAATGTCAGCACATCATGGTCATAAGATGTGGGTGTGGGTGTTTTGTGAAACTTTCATTTCATACATAGTGTATGTATGGATGTGTGCGTGTGCTAGGTGGCATCGCAAAACTTATATATAACTGGGTTGTGGTCAAAAATATGAAAGCTGGGTTATGTTATCAAGTATAATTAATTGAGAAGGAGCTTACCATGGTACGTTAGTCTGCTAGGGCTGCTATAACAAAATATTGTACCCTGGATGGCTTAAAAAACAGAAATTTATTTTCTTAGTTCTGGAGGCTGGAAGTCCAAGATCATGGTTTCAGCAGTTTTGGTTTCTTCTGAGGCCTCTCTGAGGCCTCTCTCCTTGACTAGTAGATGGCTGCCTTCTCATGTCCTCACGTGGACTTTTATGTGACGCTCCTAGTGCCTGTGTGTGTCCAAATTTCTTCTTTTTATAAGGACACCAGTAAGACTGGATCAGGGCCCACCCTAATGGCCTCTTTTTAAGTTAATCACTTCTTTAAAGGTCCTATATTAAAATATAATCACATTTTGAGGTGCTGGGGGTTAGGATTTCAACTTATGAATTTTGGGGGACATAATTCACCCCATAACATGTACCTTTTGTTTTTCATCAAAAGTCCAATGCTATTAAAGTACCTGAAATAATAAATTATTAACCAATAGATTTTATGCATATAAATAATGACTTTAACCATTTATTTTTGAAGATATAAAATACCTGTAGAACTTATAGAAAACTAAAAGTTGCAAGAATAGTAGGACAGCTTTGTGATACCTTCAGCTAGATTCATTCATTGTTAACATTCCCTTTTTGACATTTTCAACAACTGTTTTTGACTTTTCTTCAAAGCATCTTTTGCTTTATTTCTCTGTTTATATACACACGTTACTATTTTGCTTTTTGCTGAATCACTTGAGAGTAAGTTGGTGTCATGACGATCTTTTACCCCTTAATATTTCAGCACATACCTCCCAAGAACAAGACCAATCATCAAATTCAGGAAAGTTAATGTTGATCCAATACTGTCACCTAATTTTCAGTCTGTATTTAAATACTGCAGTTTTCAGTACTGTCCTTCAGAGCAGTACAGGCTACATTGTATTTAGCTGTCACATCACTTTAGTGACCTTTGATCTGTAGCAGATCCTTGGCCTTTATTTGTCATTGCCATTTTTGAAGAGTCCAGGCTCCTAGTTTTGCAGGATGGCTCTCGTGTCTAACTTCTCCTCATTGTTCAATCCAGACTATGCATTTTGGCAGAAACACCTGGGAAGCAATGCTGCGTCCTTCTTAGTGCACCGTATCAGGGGGCACACGATGTCAGTTTGTTTTGTTATTGCAATTTAACTGGGTCACTCTTTGGAAATGAAATTCCTGAGTGAACTTGGTACTCTTCTCATAACTGCTGTCACATCTTACTTCCTCTAATCTTGCTGTGCTCCTGGACTTGATGAGAAAGCTTCTCTCTGACTCAGATTAAATCCTTACCTTGGACTCGGGCCTTTCCTGGGCCAATGTGCGGAGCAGAATCCTTGCTTCAGGCCTGTGGCTCTTGTGCTCCTGTTGCTCTGGGGTTTCCTCCCTGGCCAGCTTTTCAGCTCTCTCCATATCTAATTCACCACTTGGCTCAGCCTCTGGGGAGAAGAAAAACCCACAGTATCTTTGTCAAAACTTGTGAATGCCTTCTTTTCTCCCCAAGTCAGAAGAAGAGAATTATCCAAGTGGAGAAACCTCACGTTCTTAAACAGCTTGCTAGCTATTGTTTGCTAAGATGGTGGTATTTGAAAATGAAATATAAAATTTCTGTTATTCTAGCTCATTTAGCTTTTACAGATGTTCTCTGTACCTAGAAGCAGGTTGAATGCCTTCCATAATAAGGAAACATTTGCACCGGAATCATTTAAAAGCATTTATACAGCTTCTTACAGAGCATTTCTATCAGAACATGGAAAGGAGTTAACATGGCCTCATTAGTGCCTGGATTTGGGCCCACCGAAGGTCTGCTTGCAGGCTGTGAAGTATAACTGCCAGATACAACCTGTTAGTACACAGTGTGTGACTTCTTAAGAAACCACAGGGTGGGACGGGGTGGGGAGGACATCAGGGGCCAAAGGCTTTATTTGTGACCAAACTGAGTTGCCTTTTGCCTTTTTGTAGGCAGTGAGTTGTCCTTGTTGAAACCATCCTGTTTCATTAAATCCAGTCAGGGGCATGTTCAAAGCCTAAGGTGATGCTGGAATTGTGTTTTCCCCATGGAGGGGCAGCTCTAATCTACCTAGTTAAAGGTCTGTTCACGAGCTGTGAAACCTTGCAGACAAGGGCGGGTCTAAGAGGCCAAACAACAGACATTTTAAGGAAAATTGAAATGTATAACTGTGCTTTTATTTTTAGTGCTTTTTGCATAGCAAATGTCATTTTTTTTAGGAGAGGAACATAAAAATGTATTAGATGTAGTTTGCTCATAAAATGATCACGCCTGGTATATTTAGTGTGTGGAAAAATAAGGAAAAATTATATTTATTCTATCTTCACTGGGCTTTTGCATCTCCAGAGAAGTGAGTAAGCATCTTGCTTGTTGTCAAGAGTTATCTTGACAGCAAACTTGAAAACCTCAAGGTGAAAATGGGCCATGGTGACTGGACTGCTTATAATTCCCCTGGCTTATTGGGGCAGGGGTTTGGTTACTGGTTGATTGGTTTGTGTTTTCTAAGCACATGAAAGGTCTCAGAAAGCAGCATCCCTTTCCTTCCTTTGAATTACCCTCCTGCTTGAGCCCCAGGAAACCATGCTGTTTATACTTCCTTATCCTTGGAAAGCATTCAGACTCAGCTGTAAATATTTAAAAATTAAAAAGAAAAAAAACCCCAAATCATTTTTAAGTTAAGGGAAAGACTATTGATGTGAATTGTTAAGATTCATACAGAGAAATTTTTGAGATAGAAGCAAAGGCTTCTCTGCTTTGTGCCATCCAAGGGGGTGGGGATAGTGAGGAAATGAACTTGTGTGGGGTATAGGTGTGCTGTGCTTGAAGCAGGTGATGTGGGCAAAGACACAGATTTAAAAATACTGATTTTTAAATGAAAAAGAAAATGGGAGGGGGTTTGCCACAGGTTCATATAATCAGAGTTCCTTGTCCTTGAAATGATTCATTGTATAAAGATGATCATCTTTGATGGATTTTGGACATGGCCGGCGCCAATATGCACACAATAAACACCAGCATGAAATAGCTGCCAGCCTTGTCTTCCACTCCAGCACCAAGCCCCTCACCTCTTCCCTTTATGGGAAGCCTCCTGACTTAGAAACAACTTTCCAGCTTCTGCATCAGTGTAGTTCTCTACCCAGTTCTCCACCCAGTTACATCAACCTAATGGTCCCTACCCCCATACATTTCATGCCCCAAAGCTAATATAAACCCTTGCAAACCCACTGTTGCTGCTGTCCCGCATTTTCAGGGCAGTCCTGGGCTGTCCTCCATTTTGAGCACAGCCTGGCAGATTTCTTTCTTTAATAAAGCTTGAACGATACCCGGCATCTTAGCTCACTTTCTTTCAATATTTATACAATGGAAAGAGTTCTTGAAAAGTTTGTCATCCCCAAATTATTGCCCACCAACTCTGCATGAGAACAGTGGGTGTTACAGAATTTTCCATGGAAGCTGTGCCTGCCTGAGGTGGGGGCAGCCATCCCTCAACCTGCACAGAAACACCCCCTGCAGGCTCAGCTTCAGGAGCCTGAAGGCAGCCGTGGGGAACCTCGGGAAAGGGCCTGTCCCCGCCCCCCACAGTTTTTCTACACTGGCTGAGCATTGTTCACAGGGCCAGGTGGTGGGTACCATTTGGGATAGCCCCTGGAACAGGAATTCTGGCTCCTGCATTAGAGTTGGCTAGGGTTGTTTTCTGCTGAGCTCTTAAAGGGATCATCTCCAATTGGCTTTTTTTTTTTTTTTATTGGGTATGATGAGGGTCATAAAGGCTGTTTTTTTTTTTTTTAAAAGATGACCCGTAAGGGGATCTCAACCCTTAGCTTGGTGTTGTCAGCACCACGCTCAGCCATTGAGCCAACCGGCCATCCCTATATAGGATCCGAACCCACGGCCTTGGTGTTATCAGCACCGCACTCTCCCGAGTGAGCCACGGGGCCGGCCCATAAAGGCTGTTTTTTGTTTTGTTTTGTTTTTTGTTTTTTTTTTTTTTGGCGCTGGCTGGTATAGGGATCTGAACCCTTGACAAGGCTGGATTTTTTTTTTGACATGGGTCCTTGCATCATCCCTAATGTGTCCTCAATAGCCTGGGGCTCCTTGGGTAAGAGTGGGGTGCTCACAGATTGGAGTAGACTGGAGGCAGTGGTCTGGCCCATACCCACTTCCCCCTTTCCAGGGCCGAGAAGGGGCAGCATCTCCAGTCTTTCCTTAGGATCTCACATGAGAACCTGGTAGACGTGGGAAAGCTGAGGCCAAGAGTGTGCAGGACTTTGTGGGGGCCGCTCGCTGGCTCTCTGCTCTGTGCTTGGTGATGGGAATGTATTAGTCTGTTTCTGTTGCTTATAACAAAATGCTAGGAACTGGGTACTTTGTAAGAAACCGAAATTTACCACTTATACTTTCGGAGGCTGGGAAGTCTAAAGTCCAGGGATCACAAGAGCTTTGTCCTGGTGGTGACTACAGTGACTCAGGGTATCACATGGCAAATATGGTAGAGCAGGGAGACAGAGACTCACATGTGCTCTCCTTTTAAAGCCCCAGAACCACATCCATGACCATCATTATTCATCTATTCATTAGCACACGGTCCTCAGAATCTAATCACCTCTTCAAGGCCCCACCTTTCAATTGCCATAAGAGGATTTCCCATCCTCTGAACAGTCACAGTGGGGATCAAGCTTCTAATACATAAAACTTGGGGGACACAATTCAATCTATCAGGAAGCTTCCTTTCCTCCTTGTCACCTACCAGCCAGACACAGGGCTGCTTGGAAAGAGTGGTTTCAGGGCAGTGAAATACTATACAGCTGTTTTTAAAAAACAACCCCCCCCCAATAAAAAAACCACCCAAGGGCCGGCCCGTGGCGCACTCGGGAGAGTGCGGTGCTGATAACACCAAGGCCACGGGTTCGGATCCCATATAGGGATGGCCGGTTCGCTCACTGGCTGAGCGTGGTGCTGACAACACCAAGTCAAGGGTTAAGATCCCCTTACCGGTCATTTTTTAAAAAAAAAAAAAAAAAAAAAAAAACCTCCCAAAACAGCAACAAAAAATCCCCATGAGGGAGCACTATGTGTACTGATAAAGATCTCCAAGGTATGTTATTAAGTGGAAAAAGCAAAATGTAGGACAACTTGTCAAAATTTAAAAAATAGTGTAAGTAAATATGCTGGTATAGGCGAGAAATATACCTGGAAATCTATACAGGAAACAGCTAACTCTGGCTGCCTCTGGGGAGAACTGGCTGCAGAGCAAGGAGAGAGAAAGGCCTTTCAGAGTATGTGCTTAGAGTTTTGGACTGTGCTAGTATATTGCCTATTAAACATTAAAATTACAAAGTAATAGGAAGTGCATGGGGGCTGGGAGGGAGGGGGTCTGGACGTTTTAGCTGGATGCAGGGTCTCATGTTGTCCCCTAGGCTCTGATCCAAGGCTTGCAGAGGAGCCATGAGTCCCAGTGAGGGTCTTGCCCAGCCGTCTCCCCTTTCCCTGTTTGGCATGGGCAAGGTGGGAGCGGGGGGTTGCGGGACAAGGCTGGTCTTGCGCCTGTTCTGTGAGTGCTCTTTGCCCTGAGCCCTGTTCTTTTCCCCTTGAATTTGGACTTTGCTCTCAATAAGGTTCACTTCTCTTCCTCCTAAAGTTGGCGGGGCCCTGTGGTGCCCTTGATGGCCTGGGCACAGAGAGCTCAGAGAGCTCACAGGCAAGCAGGAGCATGTCGGGGTTTTCCTCTGTGTGCCTTGAGTGCTGGTCAGGTGACACAGGAGCCACGGGGCTGGCGTGCTCCAAAGTCTGCTCTCCTGGGAAAGAAAAGGGAGAGTTTCTTGGGCAGGGTGTCGAGTGAAGCTGTGAAACTGCCTTACGCCAGGGTGACTCCTGGAGGGCAGCTGCCTCATTGTCTCTCTTACAACCTCTGCAGGGGACCCTCATCCAGCATCTGAAGGAGCATGTGCTTCACAGTGACATGACCAGCAGTGACATTCTCTTGTACTACACCACGGTAAGGCCTTTCTACAGGTACTGGAGAACCGTCGTGTGTGTCCAAATGTCCCTTTCTCCGTGCTCTGCACCTGGCCCTGGCAGTCCCTTATTGGTGTCTGATGTTGCTAGGACTGTGTGACAAGACAGCAGATGCACATGGTCCCTACTGTAGTTTAGTGTGGATTGTACACCATTAAACCAAAACTTGAGTTCAAGGTTTTGGAGGTATTCCTGTCCATGTTGAATACTGAACAATGAATGCTTAGGATGAGTTAAAGCAATTGTGTTTTACCCCAAATGGGGAGAACTCAAAATTGTCTTTTTCGAAGACCACGAATATCAAGAGGTTCTAGAAGGATCTAGCTGCATTTCCCGCATGACACTTTTGTGCCGAGTTTTTAAGGAAAGAGAGTGCTGGGGGCAGATTCCTGACATGTGAGGCTGATGTCCAGGACCCTGGCTGTGCTACTTGTGACAGCCCCCTGGAACCCCCTGCAGACATAGGAGGGGGGGCCTCTGGGTGTGCTCCTGGTACATGACCATGGGCAGGCCACTTTACTCTCTCTGTCCTGCCGTGAATTAAGGAGTATGGGCCAAATGATTCAGTTTTCTCTCAGCTGCAGGGATTTATCCTGCACCCCTTCCCTACCCCCAACACATGGGTCCTAGGTGCTGGGCCCCTCCAGGCATGGGGCCTTTTTGATTTTGTGCCCTGTCTCCAATACCCTAAGGAAAGGAAGTCCAGGGAAGCAACATCACTGCGCTGCTGTTATTGAATTGCAGAAAGTCCCCCAGTAGCTGTGATGATGCACCATTTTCAGACAGGTGATTTAAAATGACAGGGTATCATATTGAGAAGAAGTGCATGATGGGAAGAACTAAAAAATTTGGAGTTTTCTCAAAGCCGTTTTATTTATACTGGAAGCATCCTGCCCATAAGGGATCGGGGCATTACACGGAGCACACCCGATGTTAAGATGGTTTCAACAGCAGCCTCAGGTGGCAGTTGTTGTGGTTGCAGGTGTCACCCTGGCCAGGCCTGTGCTGTGTCACTTATTGACCCTACTTTTAACAGCCTTGCTGAACTGTGAGGTGGTTGGGAATGCTGTGCTGCTTGTGCTTCCAGCCACTGGTTTCCTCTTAGAGGAATGAATTCTTTGATAAAAGAAACTCCACTAATACATTGAAACCTGTAGAGAAAGCTGCTCAACTACATTGAGACTTTGGCCTGTGGTCCCTCGTGCCCTCACCTCCATCTGGGGTGCTGCTGGGGAAGGAGGTCAGTCTTCCCGGGGGTATTGGGTTGGCCACTGGAGCCTGTGGAGGTTGAGGACAGCCCTAGGTTGAGGTTGGCATGGAGGAGGGTTTTCAGGTCACTTGGGCTTAGGTAACCTGCTTGCTTGGCCCCTGCTTTGCATGCCCATTAGATTTCTGTCTTGTGTCCTACAAGCTCTTGTCCGGGGCTTATTACTCAGGCTGTACTGAGAACCCCTTGGGTGCTTCCCCATGCGGCCTCCCGGTCCCCACCTTCTGAGATTCTGACCTTGGGGCTTCAGTTTTTCCAGGTGGGGGCATGTCCCCCGTGTCCTTCTTGCTTACGTGGTGGGGTTGGGGTGCTTCCATTTGCCCTCCAGAGCTGAGATTCCTGCTGGAACTTTTCATCTGCTTTCTTGTCTGTCACTGTGTGTGTTTTGTTCCAGAACTACCTGTAGTTGGGAGTGTTGTCAGTGGAGGTGTGCACACCTTTTTGGCTTTATAAAAATTTTAAATTAAAAAGTTTTCAATTAAAATTAGAAATAATTTAAATCCACATGGCAACATGTGCCACATGGCACGTGGCAAACATTTCAAGCAATTGTGTGCAATGTGCACATGGCAAAAAATTCAAGGCCTGATTTGTGGTGAAAGGTTGGTGTTTTTCAGGGCCCAAGGCAACTACATAAGTCATTTTTGCACAGCCTCCCGTAGCACAAGCCCGTGCCTCTCCACATCTTAGTTCCCATTTGTGTTTGGCTCAGTTTCAGGGCTTTTCCAGGGGCACCAGAGGCTGGGTGGCAGGTGGGGGGAGTGGGCTCTGCGCTCTGCCTAAGCCTCGCTGCTGTGTTTGTTTCAGGTCGGCTGGATGATGTGGAACTGGATGGTGTCCGCTCTCGCCACGGGAGCGTCTGTGGTCTTGTATGACGGCTCCCCCCTGGTCCCGACGCCCAACGTGCTTTGGGACCTGGTTGACAGGATAGGGTAGGTACCCGAGATGTCACTCTCAGGGGACAGGTGAAGCAGGCGTCGGCAGGAAGGCTCTTGGGAAACAGACACGAGCTGTCACTGTTGCCTTCTATCATCGTAGGGTGCCATCTTCGGAGTGCTTTGCCATCTGGACATCCCCTCTTGGGGAGAGCGCAGGAGGTGCCAGAAGTAGAAGTGGAAGTTGTCAAGGAGTGGGGGATGGGGTGGGCGCCACCAGCAGGGACAACCAAGGAGACCAGGACTCTTCCACGTAGAATGAGGGGACTGCCCCCAGAGTCCAGGAGTGGGCTCTGAAAAATCTAAGGGCATCTTATTTCTTTTCTTTTTTTTTCTCTTTTTGTCTTTTTTCGTGACCGGCAACGGATCGCAACCCTCAGTGTCGCGCCCGTACCGGACCGGGACCGGCAACGGGATCGCAACCCTCGGTGTTGCTCCCGCACCTCGCTTAGCCAGTGAGTGGCCGTTCTGTATGTGGGATCCAAACCCTCGGCGGGAGCGCTGCCGCGCTTCCCAAGCGGCGCACTGTAGCAGTGCGCCACCGGGCTGGCCCTTATTTCTTTTCTTTTAAAAACTTTTTATTTTAAAAATCTTATTTTTAAAAAATCATTTTTTAGTAAAAACTACATATTTAAGGTATATGTTTGATGTACATATGCATAGTGAAATGATTAGTTAAGCAAATTAACATATTCATCACTTTGCACAGTTACTTTTTGTGTGTGTGGTGAGGGCATCTGAAATCTACTGTATTAGCAAATTTATGGTGTACAATACAGTGTTGTTAGCTGTAGTCACCATACTGTACATTGGTCTTATTTCTGTAATTGTGGAATCTAAGAACCTCCAGAGAAACTCAAAACAGGAAGCCCCTGAGGGTCAGTGTGAGTAGTGTTTCCTATAAGGTTCCCAAACTTGAAGAAAATGAAGTACGATAAGGTCTGGACGTGCACACCTGTTCAGGGAAGAGTGTGGATGCGTTCACAGAGGGTGGGGGCAGAACCTGTGTTTGGGGGGTCTGCAGCGTTTTGACTCCACCACCCTTTCTGCTGAGTCCTGTGGTGAGGAGGGGCTGCCTGTCCTCAGCTGTCCCTGGGTGCTGGTGGCCACCTGTCTCTGAGAGTTCTCTCGACTCTTCAGATCTACACTCTGAATCGCTTTCTGTGGCCTCCCTATGGCCCTGTGAGCTTGTCTTTTTGTGTTGGATGGAGCGGTGGCCCTTAGTGGTGCCTTAGCATTAGGGAAATGGGCCCCTGCCTCTACCCCATCCCCACCTCATCGTCTTCGTTAGGAACCGTCAGAAGATCCTGTCTCATTAGCACTTTGTGATAAATTAATCATGATTGGTTGACACATTCTCGCCACTATGGTTTGTGGTCACTGTTAATGATGGTGTTTTCAGGAATAAGAATGTAGAAGCCACCAGAGCTCCAGGGGCCTGGAAGTAACCACGCTCTGAAACGTTCTAATTACTCCAAGTGTGAGTCCATTCATGGTGGGGAAACCAAAGGAGCCACTAATGATTTTAAATCCTTGGCCATTAATATTTTAGATATAACTTTGCCTGGCCTGGGCAATATTTAAATCCTGACATTTGGCTCACATTATTAGTGAGGAAGATTATTTCCTAATGAGATTGGTTCCAGCGAAAGGTTAATCAAACCCCTGGGGACTTAGATGGCTTTAAAATCTCTACCCTTCATACCTCTGAGCCAGGTGCCAGGTGGAGAAACTTTATTTTGGGGTGTGTGTGGGAGTGGGGCGGGCTGGGGTAGGGTAGTTACCAGAAGCGGGATGGAGAGGAAATGTACATCACTGGGCCTAGTGCTAACATACTCGAAGGACAAAGGGCCCCCGGGAAACACAGCTCAGTGTGCGTCTGTGCGCGTGCACACATACGGGTGTGTGTGTGTGAATGTGTACATGGGTGTGTGCGTATGTATGCACAAGTGTGAGGATGTGAAAGTGTGTGTGAGAATATGTGGAAGTGCATGAATGTGTGTTGTGCAAATGCACACATGTGACTATGAATGTGTGCATGGTTGTGTGAGAGTGTGCATTTGGTGTGAATGTATGTGTATGTATGGGTGAGTGGTGCATGTGTGTAGGGGTGGCTGTGAGTGTGTGTGTATATGGGTGCATGTGGTGTATGTGTGTATGCCTGTGTGTGCACATGTGTGTGAGAGTGTGTTCCCAGCACTGTGGCCTGGTTCCATGTAGTAAGCAGGCACTGAGCACGTGTCTTCCGTCGGCCCTGGTTGGACTGTGCCCAGGTTTTGCTGGTAACATGGCAAGCATGGAAGTTGTATGAAGTGGCCTGTGTTGCTGTCTACGAGTGGGCACATTGTAGTAAGATAGTTCTAGATGTCAGGTTCCTCACGGGAGCGCAAGCTTGTCATTCCAAGACAGTGAATTGGTTGGGCAACACTTTGCCAATATCATTTTAATGCCCTGCACATTTGGAGTCTGCTGTGTGCCAAGCATCCTGCTGGGCCCTGGTGCACACAGCAGTGATGGGGTCGAGTGGGCCTTGTCCTCATGGGAAGGAAAGGAAAAGAGAAAGGGGACGACCTCAGCTATGATAAAAGTGCTGCTGTAAACTGGGTTCAGCAAGTCCTCGTGGAGGTCACGGCGTCTGGGCTGAGGCCTGAATGTTTAGGAGCTAGTGGCAGGATTAAGGACACGTGTTCCAGGTAGAGCAGTATGTGCCAAGGCCCTGAGGTAGGATCGAGGTGGGTGTATTGGGGAGGCTGGAAGGAGACTCATGGGGCCCGAATGTGAGGAGTCGATGTAGGGGCAGGGGCAGGGGCTGTCCTTGAGGCAGATCTGTGTCTGGCTCCTTGCAGGGCTGCAGTCCTGGCGTGGGGTGCCAGGTCCCAGCAGCTTGAGAGCTGTGAAGTTGTCTCTTTCTCTTGTGTGTTGAACCCCAATTGTGCTCACTAAAAATAAGACGCAGCCTGGAGTTTCCACACATGGGCTCCCATACTTACATGAACTAAATGTTGTTTTTAACCATCTTATGCAAGCCCTGGGAATAGATGGAAGAATCTGCCATTTCCTCAGACAAGCAAGGCTGTGACCCACAGGCCTGGGACATACCTTCTCAGAGTCTTGGCCATCTCACCAAGATCTCAGCCTGCAGTCTTCCTGTGACTTAAATGTGCTCTAGAACCCCAGAGGGCCATCAAGTTTTCTGAAGGGTTGGGGATGAGCAGAATAAAACCCATGTGTTGTTTGTGTGTGGTTGGTGATTGTAGAGCTCTGTACCCTTAGCTAGAAGCTGTCACTGCTGTCCAGTGCTGGGTGGATCCATTAGAGTTATGAAGTCTCCGATCCTGTTAAAATATAGATATCCCTGAAGGGGTGACCCCTTAATCCTTGAACGTGTTGTTGAAGTAGTTCATCAGACTCTGAGTTTATGAAATAAGCGTTGAGGGGATGGTGGGAGGAGCCTATTCCTCATCCCCCTGCCCAAAAAACCCAGACATCTCTAGGGCATAGTGATCCAGGGGGTGCCTGTGGGTTGAGTGGTAGCTTTAGTGGTGGCAGAATTGTCCTGGGGGAGTGAGGAGAATAAAGGCACAGGAGGTACAAGGACCACAGTAACCCACTTCCCTGCTCGGAGGGAGCCGCACCCTGTTGTTGATTCACCCCACATCCCAGCCGGCCCTGAATCCTGAATGTTCTGTGTGGCTTTGCCTCTCAGCATCATACAGGGCGTGACAGGATGGTCTTACCGATGAATCTCCACCCAAGTGTGCAGAGGATGAGGTTTTATTGCCCAGAGGGACATGAGGGGTCTTGATTTTATATCTTCCTTTGGTCCTCCAAGAGAAAATATTCTTTAGTTGGGAAATCGGGTTTCCACATTAAGAACCACTGCACTGGAAGAAGAGCCGAGGGAGGAAATAGCAGATTAGGTAGCGCTCCCCTGGAAAACAGTGATTTATACTCAACACAATGCATCTTTCTGTGAGTGCAAATGCAGGGATAAAGGACTGTTGATTCTAAATGTTAGATGAGAAGAGCTGCAATTTTCTAAGCTTCATAAAAATGCGAGGTTGTTTAAGAAAAGGGCATGGGTTGAAGATTTGAAGTATGGTACCTGTTTTAACAAGTGAGGAATTCCATAACCCTCTCTACTTCACTGGAAAACGAATGTGTGAGGTTGGAATTTGAGGGGTCTTGTATGACCTCATTTAGTTCCCCAAGATAAAATACTGTGCAGTTGGGAAGACAGTGGGTTCAAGTTCTTTATTTACAACAATTGTTTTAAATAAAGCCAGATGTCAGAGGGAGCTAGGAAGCTCCAACTCTGCACGCTGGAATCAACGTGAAGACTTGTCACATTGTGCCTCAGAGTAAACAGGTGCCGAGACTCACCCTCCAGTAAATGTTAAGTATTTGTTCAACCCAGAAAAATACTGTGTCTTGGGTTTTGCAAACTTGTCAGAAATAAATCACTAATCTTAGAAGCCTTGGTGTGTGGAATATGCAAGAACATTGAAGAGTTTCTGGTGTTTTCTTTCCCACCCGTACCCTTAGCATCACCATCTTGGGAACAGGTGCCAAGTGGCTGTCCGTGCTCGAAGATAAAGATATGAAGCCAGGTAAGCTGCCTCAGGATGTACCTGTTCCCTGCATTGCCAGCCAAGGGAGTTAAATCCATCGTATGACTGTTCCTGCATGTAGGTGAGACTCAAGGCATTGGATTTAGTTTTAATCTTCTGTGATCCTTCACTCTAGTGGAAACCCACAATCTCCAGACACTTCGCATGATCCTGTCTACAGGGTCCCCCCTGAAAGCTCAAAGCTATGAGTACGTCTACAAAAACATCAAGAGCAGCGTTCTGCTGGGCTCCATATCAGGTATGGCTCCCGCTCTATGTACTGGTGCGGTGGGGACAGCCCACCTTGCCTCCTGACGGCCACGCTGGGCCCCATGACATGCACAGCCTCTGACTTAGCGTGTGCACGTTTGAATTCATCCTGAGGACACATCAGCAGGGCATACAGTGTGCACAGTCTATCCCTGTTACTCCTGTTACTCCAGGTAGTGACGTTCTATGAAGTCGCTGTGAACACTGAGTTAGCAAATACTGAGACATTGTTCCAGGGAGAAATACACACACACCCCCACAGGGAGAAATACACACACATACATACAGACCCATATGCACATACAGACACAGACACACAGACATGCATACACATACTCATACTCTCACCCATACATGCCCCTCCCCCACTGTCCCCCTGCTACATACTTCTCATGGTGATTACAATTTTAAATCCTAAAAACAATTCATCCTGGTAGATTCTATTTTCTTTATCTTACAAAAGAGAAAAAGAAGTTCAGACTGAGGTGGCGCTGCTAACAGGTACCAGAGTTGGGATTTAGACCGCAACCAACTAGCCCCAGAGCTGGAGCTTCCTAGGCTGCGGGGTCTCCTGTGTGTGACAGCTGAGGAAGAAATGCAGAGTGGCACCATGAGCAACCTAAGCTGGACTGGGCGTGTGGGTGACTCAAGTTTGTCACTGCTCTGTGCATGTCTGAGAATGACCACAGAAGTGCCCCTGGTATTCATTTTTAGGTTACAGATAAATTCTAGCAAGTAGGCAAATTCACAAATACATAATCTGTAAATAATGAAGATTGCCTGCATATAAGGATGATTATTGCCACATTATTTTTATTATTAAAAAGTAGAAATTACCTGTTTGCCCAGTAGAAGGGAGTTAATTGAATGACTTATGGCACATCCATAATTTATGCAGCCCTTAGACATGGTAGGATGAAAGTATTTATTTAGATACTCATGTATTGACATTGAAAGATGGTTGTGATGTGTTGAATAAAAAAAAAAAGGTAGATTGCAGAACTATAAGTTGTCAGTTTTATAGACTGAAGAAAAGGAATACATGGATGTGTACATACACACTCGTGTGTGTACATGAGGGGTTGTATATATGGATTACAAGTGGCCTTTTTTCTCATTTTTTTCTTAATGTAAAGTTGTGCTTTGCACAATTATTTGTGCACGCAGTAAAGAATTCAGTCCACTAAAGGAAATAAGGCTGAGTCCTCCCCACCCCCATTGCTGCTCTCTCTCCTTCCCCGAGGGAGTGACCTTGTTTCCTTTCAGAGGTATTCTGTGCATAGGTGAGCATGTGTGCATGTGTGTGTGCATGTGTGTGCGTGTAAGTGGGGCAAGAGCTCCCCCTTTTTGCACAGATGTGACTTCAGGTCACACCTTACTTCCTCTCAACAGTGTGACTTAGAGTTAATTCCATTGCAGCCCGTAGAAATCTTTGGGCCACTTTTCTTTTTGCACATCAGTAATTCTGATTTTTCTCCTTATAACTTGAAACACCTCTTTAAAAGGTGCCATTTACTTGAAGCCTGAGCCCGCCTTCCTCCCAGGTAGTTCCTTGGTCTTACGCTGGGGGTCTCGGGCTGTTTTCTTCTCCTTCCTGTGTGAAAGTTTGGGCACTGTCCTGGAGCTGGCTGAAGGCTTTCTAAATTTCCCCTAGATGTGCACACGGTTTCTGGGTGGTTGGCCCTGCCCCCTAATCCCCCTGGGACCCAGGTTCCCTTTGGACCCTCCTTGCCCCCTCCTGGCCCTGCTGAGCAGTTTCTCAGGCTGCAGAGCAGCTTCCTCACCTGGGCATGCCAGAGGCTTGGCTGGTGGAGAGGGGTTGTTTCCCGGGCCAGCCCAGCGCATCTCCAGCAGTCACACTGGGTAGGATCTGGGCCTGTCTTCTTGCCACTATCCTGTTGTCCCAGTCACCCCTCTGAAGTGGCATAAGCAGTCTTGGCAGAGGGTGTTCGTGCTGCTGGGGCCTGGGAGTCTGTCCAGCTTGGGTGGTGGCAGAAATGAAAGGACTCTCTAGTTCTCATGGTCATGTCGGTCAGTGACAGGAGGTGCCGGAGAAGACAGCAACGATATCATATTTTGATTCTCTGCCTGAGGGAAGAGCCACAATCAGTCATCCTAGAGTTGAGGCCAAAACAAGCCCTTCTGGGTTTTGGAGATACTAAATCATACTATGCAGATCTTGAAACCTCTTCCTCCCTCCCCCCATTCATCTACACACAGCACGATTAAGGAAATTTTGTTTTAATTATGAGTAAAGTTTCTCAGGTTTACAAACAAGTACAGTAGTTCCCCTTTATCCAAGGTTTTGCTTTCTGGGGTTTTAGTTGCCTGAGTGCAGTCCAGTAAGATATTTGGGGAGAGAGAAAGAGCACAGTCACGTAACTTTTATTGCAGTATATTATTATGATTGTTCTATTTTATTATTAGTTATTGCTTATCTCTTACTATGTCTCATTTATAAATTCAAGTTTATCATAGGTATTTACGAGGTACTTCACAATTCATGGAATAATAGGGTCAAAAAATAATACGTATCTTTCTGTGAGCTTTTTGAAGTATGCTTATGTGTTTAGGAAAAAACACAGGATATACAGGGTTGGGTACTATCCGTAGTTTCAGGCATCCACTGGGGGTCTTGGATCATATGCCCTGAGGATAAGGGGGTCAACTGTGTAAAGAACAGCATAGACATGTCACTGAGCTGAGGCGGCAGCAAGGAACGTCGCCTAAACTGGTAGACATCCCACCTGAACCCCCTTACCTGCTTTCCTCCGCTGAGCGCTGGGGTTGAGTGTCCCCAGCCCTGCTGGTTTTGCATTTGTGTGTGAGTGTGCACCTCTGTGGGGTGTGCATCTGTATGGGGCATGTACCTGCGTGTGTGCACCTGCGTGTGGCGTGCACTGTGTGTGTGTACCTGTGTACCGGACGCACTGTGTGTGCGCCTGTGTGGGGTGTGCGCCTGTGTGGGTTGTGCGCCTGTGTGCGCGCCTGATTGTGCACCTGTGTGTGTGTGTGTACCTGTGTGTGGTGTGCACTGTGTGCGCACCTGTAAGTGTGCACCTGTGTGTGCCTCTGTGTGTGTGCCTGTGTGTGTGCCTGTGTGTGTGAGTCTGTGCTCCCGGCACTCCCTGACCTGCAGCTGTGGGTTCCCCACCCGCACAGGGTGTTGGTGTGAGGAGATGGTCATCGGTTGTCGGCAGTGGTGGGTCTAGGTTCAAGGGTTCATGCTATTCCCCTGTTTGGTGGCCCCTGGAGTCTGACTCCACTTCGAGGTCCCTCCTGAAACAGGAGTGTTTTCCATCAGGTGTGATCTCCCTGGCACCCCATGGTCCTTGCACCTGGGAGAGTTTGTTTTTCTAAGGATGAAGTGACTGTAAACCACAGCAAATGAGCCTTTCCACGTGACCAGTCTGCTTGGGCAGTGCTGCAGGATAGATACAACAGGGCAAAGTGCCATTTGCTGCGATCCC